TTTTTTACCTCAAAGAAAAGTCACAGAAACCCTTCCATATCCATCAATCCACCTACGCTGAAAGGATTGAATGAAAAATAAGCATGTGTTATTCCCAGAAACAATCCACCGCTCGTCATCGTCTCAGGAATCATGCTTTCTCTTCTCTTCTCCCGTCGTTCCGCAGTTGAGGCGTTCACAAGGGAAGGCGGCTTGTCCTTGGCTAACTAAATAAAAGCTTGTGCTCTTTTCCCCAGATTTTGCATGCGAAAGTAATGGACGCTGAAGACGTCGCTGGCTCTGGGCGGTGACGCATCTTTCCGAGCTCCCCATCCGCATCGGAATAGGATCGCATCGACCCAATCATTGGAACGCGTGCGTTGACTTCCATCCTCTAGGATCTGGCGTCAACCGAAGCTGGACGAACGGTGCAGTTCACGTCGCTCCGTCCCTTCCCGGAAGCTCGTGGAGGTGCGATGGGAGGCTCACCTGTTCGACCTTTGTTCGCTGAGAGAAATGGCGGCGACGAAACAAATCTCCTGAGCCAGTGGGAAGTGGGAAGCTATGGGACGTCGCCGCATACACCACCTACTGGTGATGAGGACGTGCGTTACGACACCATCCATGCTAATCCCAGTGCACTACTGTCGCCTGCTTGCCGACGCCACGGCCGAAATGACAACCGGCCGGGCGTCCACTGCATTATGGACCGCCAACACGCGTCGGGAAAGCAAGCATGCAAGCAATGAGATTGTGCTTGGACAGTTACGTTCATAATATTACAAGTAATAACAGCCATTGAAGAAGAAAGAGAAATAATTGACAGATTAAAATATCATTTCCTAATTTACCTTTGGAAGAATATATTGAAAATACGAGATACGTATTTTCGTTGAGTGTTTTATTGACAACATTTGAATGAGAAAAACTATAAAAAATCTATAACCGGTCTGCGTTATTTCTCCAACTCTGCGTGTCAAAAGTCAAGTTCTCTAGACTTCTCTGTTCTATTTGTGGCATGGGCTCATTGTGTAGTTTGTAGTGGTTGTAGAGCTTGGACAAGGTACTGGCCCAAGCAACACATTGATATGGATTTCCTGAGACGTTCGAGTTTATCAATCTGGGCTGACACGATGTAAGGGAATGAGGTTAAACTGTAGGTGAATTAGAATCCAATCAACATGTCATTTCAAGATCTCTGAGTTGACCAAATTAGACTGTTCTTGGTCAATCCTGACACTAATTAATCACTATTATGTACCAAACTGATTAAACTGTAGGTGAAATAGAATCCAACCAACATGTCATTTCAAGATCTCTGGGTTGACCAAATTAGAGTGTTCTTGGTCAATCCTGACACTAATTAATTATTATTATTTATCAAACTGATTAAACTGTAGGTGAATTAGAATCCAACCAACATGTCAAATCAAGATCTCTGGGTTGTCCAAATTAGAGTGTTCTTGGTCAATCCTGACACTAGTTAATTACTATTGTGTATCAAACTAGCTAGTGATGGATGTCTCTGGATGGAGCTTGCCCATCTCCATCAAGCCAAAGGATTGCAAGATGACGAGTTCCACACCATGTATATAAAACTGTTGATATTACGGGATCTGTGTAGCTATTTATACTTGCATGAAATGAAATGGCTCGAGGGTCACCATCTTTGTGAGAGTTCTCCCTTGTCTCGGCTAAAATAGATTTGCCACGCACCTCATCACATAACTAAAAATGTAGATATCAGTCACCATCGAACTCCACCGATTGATTGACCTTAAACGCCGATTCATTCATGGTGATAGAAACTTCTAAGCTCTCTACGGGGCCTTTGATTGAGAAGAGAGAGAGAGAGAGAGAGAGAGAGAGAGAGAGAGTTGTATGAACCCCAATTCATTAGAGTCAGGCCGCTATATATCCTGTGGTCCATTTTTATGGCAATCTCCGACCAAGTCATATAGTGTACTTGCTACCTCATTCTCCTGATTCCCGGCAATTAGAGACATAATTACAACCAGTTATATTGGCGATAAAATATCTCAAAACTGTTCATATAAAAAAATCTCATACCTTACCTTGATATCTCGAGGAAATGTGCAATGGCTCATTTATATCATCATCCCTTTAAGTAGGCTTTTTATTATATGTCGTCCCTTTCATGCTGTTTAAGCTTAGTTCATATCTGGTGAGATCAACATGCACGTTTCATTCCATCGTATCAAGATCTACTGCACCAAAACAATGCAAGTCTTTTCCAATTTTTGTTTATTTTGTTGCGTCTACGTACTAATTTACTACTGCGTCAATGCTTGACGATATGACACACGCAGTGCATGGGCCTTGTGATTTGTAAGTCGTTGGCATCGTAACTAATGAAGAATGAAGTCTACGTGCATATATCCAACTTTTAATTCGGCACACGTAGAGCAGATACGTTCATCGGGTTGGGATCCGATCAACAAGTCGGGCAACTTAGGTGAAGGTATATACTGTGACTGTGGCCTTTCGCAAAGTGTATGGTCTGAGAAGATGCATCCACGGTCAAGAGTGTTTACGTCAATGACGACGGCCGTCACTTCAGGCGTGCGTGGCCATGAATGAGACTGCACCAGGAAAAGGGCTACGGTTCGTGAACCACACACCGGGAGAAGCATGGCCGGTGGGCAACGTGGCTCGTTCCCACCGCAACGTACAATACTTGAAATGACCGCTATTTATATACACGTAGAAGTCCCTATCTATCGACACGAGGTTAGGTAAATGTGAAAAGGCTTCGAGCAGCAACACCATCGACGATGGCTTCCTTGCATTGATTGCCTTCGGTCATGCCGTCTGTTTCTATCGATCTTCGTCGCGAATTCTACGAGATGCGAAGGCACGGATGCATGTCAACTCAATGTAGCTGACTTCACAAAACGTGCATGGCAAAACACCAGGGACTGCCGTTACGCCAACTTCAACGGTTTTGTTCTCCTTTTGCTTTAATATATGTACAATGGCTGTGATTTTATCCAAGAATCGGTCCCTGGTTTTGACTGGTTGCTGCTCGCATGGCTAACGATCTCAAGGGGCAATTGGCGCTTAGCTGGTTCACTAGGTTGAGGTAGACGCCAAGGTCATGGCAGGCCACCACATTGGCCGTGCGCCGCCCGTTGAGCCGAAGCTCTCTGCCGATGTCGGCGTACACCCACCCGGACTTCGACAGAAGCCAGCTCGGTAGCCAGCCGTTGTCGTCGTCCGCGGCCACTCTGCGGTCCTCCTCGACCACGAAGCCGGGAACCTTGGTTATGATGTCCTGAGTGTTAACTATCCGGAGCACCTTGGTTCCCCGCTCCTCGAGGCGACGGCGGAAGCTAGCGTTGCCGACGCGAGGGCCGCCGAACGACACGACCGTGACCATCGGTACGTCTTGGAACGCCGTGGTGATGTCGTGTGCAGTGAGGACGGCGAGGGCGGCCCCGAGGCTGTGGCCTGTCACCGTAAGGCTGAGAGGCTTCCCACGGGCGTCGTACTTGTTGATGAGCCTTCTTATCTCCTGGCGCACTTGGTCACGGAGGCTGCGCCGGGTTGAACTGGAAGAGGTGAAGAGACTCCAGAAGCCACGCTCGACCATGGGCTCGGCCGCGTCGGAGCCCAATGCGGCTGGCACGACGACGGAGGGGAGATGCGTGAGCGTAGCCCGGAGGTTCTCCATCCACTCGAGGAGGGTGGCGGTGCCGCGGAACGAGATGACGATGTCCCGCCGGCCCAGCCGCTCGATCTCGTCTTCGTCCTGGCACACGGCGACGTACCCGATCCAGCTGGTGCCGCGGGAGAGCCAGGCGGGGGCGCCGGGTTCTGCCCATCCGGGAAGGCGCGCGCCTGAGGTCGCAGTGAGGTTCCGGCTGATGCAGTAGCCGGTGTCGGGGATGCCGGAGCGGCGAAGGAGGGACCGCTTGGGGAAGCGGCAGGTGCCGTAGGTGGGGGATGACGGGTCGAAGTCGAAGCAGGTGTAAGCGGCCCGAGCGAACTCGCCATACCGGAGGATCTCGGAACGGAGTGCGTCGTCGAGCGGGTCGAGCAGGCCGTCCCAGTTGTTGGCGCCCTGGTACTCCCTCCACCGTTTTCCGATCTTCACGGTGGTCGGGCGGCCCGATGGGAAAGCCGTAGAGGTGGAAGCGAAGAAATCGGTGGAGCGCCGCGGCTCCCTCGTCGGAAAGGACGACCGAGAGATACCAAATGCGAGCCTCATTCTAGTTTATCTTACCACAGCCAACGCCTAAGCTGCTGGTGCGGCTGCTCGTGCCGCCGCTGGCGTGGAGTGGCTAATGCAATTGTTGCGATGATCAGAATAAGGAAGGAAGAGGCTGTTCCTGTGCAAGATTTATACGGCGAGGGTGTGTTCGATTTGATGGGCGGTGACGACGTCATTGAAAGCGGCGGTTAATTTGGACTTGGAGGAATTGACGGCGGACACCTGCTCTTCTTTTCCTTCTCCTTCTCTTTCCTCCTTTCGTGGAGGGAAGCGTGGGGCACGAGGGCGCACGTTGTGATCGGCTTTCCTTGTTCGGGCGGCTACCCGACCCCAGCGTACGGCTCTGATTCGACGTCCGCCAGTGCCGATTTGACGGGGGACTGATCGCGTTTGGTATGAAACGTTGAAGCGAGATGGCGCCGACGATGGAACAGTCACGTGAGGTGTCACGTGAGCCACAAGCGGCATGAAACTTCTTGGCCTCGCGATCCTGTGGTGGACCGCGAGGCCGTTCGGGCTCGGGTAAGGTATCGGTTGGCTCATTTAAGGAACCCGTTTCTTATCCCGGTATTGGTTGGCTTAGGAGGCGTGGGTTCCATTAAAAGTTGTATAGGATGAGCGCAGACATCGTCACATCCTAAAACTTAGGGGGGTGAGATCGACGGTCTTTCTAAATATCCATGAATTTTGCTTCCCCAATTGACCTCTTCAATAGGAATGGAAATGACATTTAGCATCGAAAAGGATTTACGTTTGGTAGTACATACCAAATGACAAGTTCCTCTCTGATATAAAAAAACTCAATTAAGCTCAAATCGTCAATAGCATTTATGTCACTTATGAACTGTTTGTACTATTGCCTTACTGAAATGGCATCCAAATTGGCAGCCGCAATCTCAAGCACAAAGGAGCAGCAACAGTATGAAGGACTGCATGACTGATATAAAATGATTCGAGGAAGTACAGCCACTCAAGCATGCTTTCTATCCATTTCAAGTTTTACTTACATCCATGTCAATCTGCACGCAGGATGAGTTCTGCTTGCTCCATGCAAACGCCTCGTTTCTGATCTACATGGGGTCACACTTGCTGCTTAACCTAGAATGTGGAAGATCACCGTCATGTAAGGCTTCAGGTACTCCCAGTGAGACGTGAGATTTCCTCTTCGAGCTGCGGAGTTTGATGTACCTTCTCCTCATTTTGCACGCCAAATGCCTTTGAAATGAGTTCGATAGCTTCGGGGAGTTCAGTGCAGGCAGTGAGAGCCCTTCTTTTGTTGTTCCACTCCGTGTATGTAGCATATATAGTTGTAGTAGAGTCCAAAGGCGATATTTTCCTCTGTCGTTCTCATTGGCTCTATCCTTTTGCAACTTCATCGCCACTGCTCCAGTAATGGAAACAAGTCATGCATGGCGTTGCACTATGGTAATATAAATGGCGGATAAGTTTCCGATTTAGCCACCCAAAGCATGATTGGCCTCAAAAGATGATTGCATGCAGGTGTCGATAGGTTATACTTCCATGCAAGATGTGGTCTATTGGATATAAGCAATCAGCGAGGGTGTACGTGAGAGAGGAGGGCAAGATTGCATGCACGTCCAAGGAAATGTCCCTACTGCATGCATGCCCTGTCAATGTCAGTATTCTCGGGCCAATAGGAAGGAGCAAAACTATCTTCTCCTGGTCTTCTTTGCACCCACCACATGCGGGATTTGGATGCCGCAGAGATACTTGTTATGTCAAGAACACGTTCGTTAATATCTCGTACCATTTTTTTTCCTTTATCGAGATATCTGACTCACATCCAAACTTACTGAGGATGCGACTCTTCATGCCATCATAAGGTTAGGCAGGACACATCTCCCCTCTTTTTCTTTTTCACCTATTTTCTAACCACACAAATAGTTTCATAGGCTGATGCATAGCTAGACAAATTACAAGCACACAAAACACATGCGTGTTCGTACCCCGCATGTGGATTTCATAAGTCTGATATGCTATAATTCGATCCAGTGAAACCCAAGTTAATATAATAAATTTATAATTAAATTTATTAAATCTTATAATTAAGTCTATTTAAATAATTTCTTATTTTGAAAGAGTTATGCTAAGTACTGAGTTTTCGCGGAAGCCACGTCACCTCGTAAAATTTCCAAAGTGATTCGATCCACCGGAATAATGTTTTTAAAAAATATTTTCAACATTTGCTTAGGGGAAAAATTCATTGACATCTGATGTGGTCCGGACCTATGTAGTATTAGTTGAGGTGAAAATATCAAGCTCCTGAGGTACCACCTGCATAAAGAACAAGGTTGAAAGAGGTTTCCCGACTCGATTCCTTCAACGTCCAAGTTAGTAACCCAAGATGTATGAGTGCGGATGCGAGTGATTAAAAAAAGATAAACCTCTACTCATCGTGTTAAAGAGCTTTTACACTTACTCACAAAGGAGCAGTATATTCCATGAAATATTTTATGAGGATGCAGCCTCTAACTACCCTCAACGATCCCCTCTTAGCCTCTTGTCCATGTGGATAACCAGGGGGCACAATCCCGAACTGCCTGCCTTAAACCTGTTTTGGACTCTTGTCCACTTAAGTAGATGGGTGAAAGGTAACTTGAATATTTCCTCCTATCTAGGACTCCATGTGACAGCTATAGGTCAGATGATGATTAGTTGATAGTACTCCCTATCATTTATCCCCATCCCAAAGCATGCTTGGAGGCTCTTGTGAGAGGGGTTCGAGTTTCAAGGTTTAGTTCATCCAACATGAGTGCGCTTGGGATCGCCCCATAGCATTACTGGTGGTGATCCATATTACCGACCTAACCATTGTGCATCAAAGGGCATGTGTTAGTCGGGCAGGGTTGGGTTTTCCAACCTCCCTGTCTCTTCGTAGCCTCTACACCTCAAATGGAGGTGAGGGTCAGTCTTCTTGATTTCCACACCTCAAACGGAGGCGAGTTAGTCTTCTTGATCTCCTCATGCAGATCCGATTTTCCAAACTCACGTATTTCAAGCACATTTTGCCTTGTGCCTTTATCATGACGAATTTCTCCTCATGCGAATGAGGTTTTCTTAATTCATGCACCTCGGGCGTATTTTGCCTCGTGCTTTCAGCGTGACAGATTTCTCTTCACGCAAGTTAGGTTTTTTTGACTTATGCATCGTAGGTACATTTTGCTTTGTGCCTCCACTATGGTAGATTTCTTTTCACGCTGTGTCATGGTTAAAATTATAAATAAGGTGTTTGATATAATACTCATATATGTCCATGTCTTTCGGTTTTGTTCATGCTTTGCATAGCACGTAAAGGACTGATAGTAGGCTTAGTAACCCTATTTTCTTTGGTTTTGGTGATTGTCTTAGGCTTGTAAACAAAGGTTATGTTATGCAGGCACTTGTGGGAATTTTGATCTGTAGTAGACCATTTTGGACCCTTTGTTGTTCGATCGTTCATAACTTATGAAGTCTATTTATAATTTGCATTAGCTATGAAGTATTTGCTGAAATGATTGCTTGTGAATCTTGAGTAAACTTCTTTCTCTAACTCATTTTCTCTTTTGTATGTCTTAAGGGATCATAGGAGGTTTTAGGGAAGCTGACCTTTGCGGATAGACACGTAAGAGTGTCACACGACTTAGGCAAAACTAGCTAAGTTCGTGACATATAGTATTAGAGTGGGACAAGCACACATAGAAATACTTGACATGCAAATGTGGGGGACCTAGTGGGGTTGTGTTGAGGGCAGCCTGCATGCGCGACTGTTTGGGGGAGACAAGCATGGAAATGTAGGCAAAAGGAGTCACTCAGAGGAGCGGACATTTGAGACTGACATTCAGAGCAATGACCAACCCTTCGCGCAAGAGGCATCACGAGGACAAGTAAGCTAGGAAGAATGCATAGTGCATAAAGGTTGGGATGGCTGAGTTCGAGCTATGGCTCGACTTTGGCAACCATACTTGATAATGCTTAAGGCAAGCAAGACGCTTAGTAAATGATGAGACCATACAAAATGGAATGAGTTGCTCAGCGATCGAAAAAGTTATGCAAAGCTCACAAAGGTGAGGGGAATTACTAACTCGAAGAATTTGATACTCATGCAAGGGCCTGTATGCGGACGATGGAATGTTCGTGGCCATCCCAAGGTGACCAAAACTTGACGCCATGGAGCATTGAAACTTTTTCTTCGGCATGACAAGGATGCGTCAGTAGGAGGCTAAAGTATGCAACGAGTTCAGCATGTTGCCAGGCCTTAAGCGGTGTAGCAAGGGTTACATTAGCGAGGAGTCTCAATTTAGTAAATGTATTTGTAGGGGTATAATAATGCATAGTTTGTTAAGCAAGACAGAGTAGTTCAAGGGGATGGTGGTCTCCGAAACTTTCAGAGGGAAGGACACAAAGAGAAGTTACTCGAACAGGACAAATACCTTAGAAAGATAAATCTCGATTCTTTAGAGGGAGAATCATGTACAATGAACTGCACATATTGAGGAGGAGTACCTCAAGACAATAACCCTAAAAAGTTCAACGGCTCGAGTGAGTGGCCAGGAGTTATCGTATGATCTCACATGAGGTAATGCTTTGGTAGATGCATTATGAGATCAAGTGGGGGAGTGACCCAAGACAATACAAAATAAAGACACACTTGGAGTTGATATGAAGATTGAACTCAATAGAGAGTTGACCCTTGGAATGGCGGGCATGAGGGCCACCATCAACTTAATGCAAATTGAGGAGCAGAGCAACTTGTGTGTAACTTGGTGAAGGACCCAAGCCGCATGAAGGGAGTTGACATAGAAGATGAAACATATACTGAAGGCATGAAGCTTTCCTTGGATATAGGTTAAGGATATGAACTCTTGTAGAGACAAAAGTAGGATCATGTCGTTCCATGGGTCCTTCATTTTGATGGAGCAAACTCATCCTACATAATGCCAAAGACGAAAGAAGTTTCAATGCACATGCACCTTATCTTAGAGAAGCATTTGACGGAG